ACACACACACACACACACACACACACACTCAGACACACATGACCACTTTAAGATAGGTCCCACCAAAAGAAAAGAAAAACCCACATGATTTCCAACTTCTCAGTGCTACCAGACATTTTAGTTTTCAGTATATAAAGCCAAGAAAATGCAGACAAAGTATAAAAGTACTCTTCCACTAATAAGAGAAAAAAGATTTAATGAAACAATATTCTTATCATTCATCTGGGAAAGGAAATGCTATAGATTTGGTTTACAAATTCCTTATACATGAAAAAATAACCAAAAGGTCTGCATCCTTATGGAGTAATCATGTTTACTGACAACTGCCACCTGTGTGTTTTAAGTGAAAAAGGAGGACTGGTTTGCATATCTACTAAAAACCATGATGAATGATGCGGCCAACTGCATGATGATGTACATAAGATAGACACGACACAACTGATGTGACTATCAATCACTGGTCTAGCTATCTACACTACATACATCATGGTAAACTTCAAGACAAAGAAACCAAAACAGTGCAAGACTGAGGCAAAATACATCTCACATTAAAAAATGTTTTTAGTTACTGCACTCTGTATTTCTGAAAACATCTATAATTTTAAGCTTTTATCAAAATCCCAATTATAGTGAATGCCTTACTTAATTCTGTTTATATCAATGACCAATTCTACAAATAAGAAAGGATTATAGCTTGTCATATTCAGCTTCCTTCTCTACAATACCTGAGAGATTATCCTGGAATTAGGCCCTAAGGACAGTATCAATCAGGCCACTTAGGTATAATGCAGTAAATTATTGGCATTGTACTAAATAGTATTATGAATAGCCTGAGTTTAAACCTCCCTCAAAATGACGCTTAGAAAACTAAGTAAATTAATGGAATTATAATAAAGAAGCTGCCACACAGGCCTCCAAGTTCAAATGTAACTGTAGTGATAAGAAAGCTGTGTGTTTATGTATACGAGTTTACTGCTTTATTTTTTAATGTCCTTATTTTTCTAAATAAACATTTCAATTTACCAAATATAACAAGGTTAGAAATAAGACAAACAATAAGAAAATCTATGATATACAGAGAAAAAAACAAATCTACCTTACTGCCAAGAAAGTTGGGCCAATCACTATAAGTTAAATAAGGAAGTACTCTACAACCCTCTGAAAAAAAACAACAGTGCTATCTATAAGAAAAACAAGCTGGATACCAGTTGCTCACGCCTGTAATCCTAGCTACTCAGGAGGCTGAGATCTGAGGATCATGGTTGAAAGCAAGCATGAGCAGGAAAGTTTGAGACTCTTACCTCCAATCAACCATCAAAAAAGAGTAGAGCTGTAATGTAAGTGATAGAGAGCTAGTCTTAAACAAAAAGCTCAGGGACAGCACCTCAACCAACACACACACACATATACACACACACACACACACAAAATCAAAAATAAATAAAAATTAACATTCAAAAGGAGAGTACATTTAAATAGTGCAAAAATATAATAAACTAAAGGATTAAGTCACTATACAAAATTCACATAAATACCACCAGCAATATAGGCAAGACATCAAAATTTAAGTTTCAAACACAAGTGTGACATTTAAAAAGGCACTTCCTAACAATTAATGCAAATAATATTTCTCTGTACATAGTAACTGTAAGAAATCATAGACTCCACATAAGGTCAAGAAATAGCATTATGAAAAAGAGTATTAGACATCTTTTATAGGAAATACCAATTATAAACTTGCAATTATTCCAAGGCCTCCTTAAAAAAAACAATCCAAAGGTACGTTCCATCAGGTCAGCTTAATAGAGAACTTTGACTCAGGCTCTGCACAAGGCCAGTACGACATTTTTTTTTGTTTTTTCTTAATGAATTATGTATTCTACTAGGGTTGTATCCTTACATCAGATACCTACTTTTAGTTTTCTAATACCATCATCATTGAAGTATGCAGATTTAAAAGAATCAGCCAGACATTAGATCATGCCTGTAATCCTAGCTACTCAGGAGGCTGAGATCTGCAGATCATGGTTCAAAGCCAGCCTGGGCAATCAATTAATCACCAGAACACCAGAAGTGGTGCTGTGACTCAAGCAGTTTAGTGCTCACTTGGAGCTGACTGGAGTTCAAGCCCATAATTGACCAAAAAAAAAAAAATCAGGTAACAGATTAAGAATATTGGGGTAAACTGGGTGCCGGAGGGTCACGCCTGTAATCCTAGCTACTCAGGAGGCTGAGACCTGAGAATCGCAGTTCAAAGCCAGCCCGGGCAGGAAAGTTCATGAGACTCTTATCTCCAATAAACCACTAGAAAACCGGAAGTGGTGCTATTGCTCAAGCGGTAGAGGGCCTTGAGCTAAAGAGCACAGGGACAGCGTCCAAGCCCAGAGTTCAAGCCCCATAACCAACAAAAAGAAATATATATATATATATATATATATATATATATTGGAGTATTGTTTCTTCTAGTCAAAAACTACTTCTGCATTATTGCCATCATCAAACAAATGTCAATTATTAAGTTACCTATTTGATCACTAATTTACTGACTTCCTGGTTCTTTCAATTTCAGAAAATTTGATTTTCTGGAGATGCTCGAGCTTACCAATTGCAGGGATTAGGTAGTGTTGCTTTTTTTTTTGCTGAGAAACATAAATATGAGAAGAACAGAACAGCAATGCTATTAAAAATATTCAAGATGAGGAACTAAATGTGTGGATCAAGTGGTAGAGCACCAGCCTTGAACAGAAGAGCCAAGTGAGAAAAGCAAGACCCTGAATTCAAGCCCCAGAACTATCCCCCACCCCCCAACTGAAATGAGTGTTGTAGTACAAGCATGTAATCCCAGCATTGAGGAGGCTAAGGAAAAGGATAGCAAGTTTGTTTCAAACCAACCAAAGGAAAAACAAAATAAGGTGGCCTGTACAATATTGTTAATATATTTAACACTGATGAACTAGATAATTAAGGTGCTTAGTTTTATGTGCTTTCTTTTACTACAATATAAAAAGGGGAAAAGGAAAAGCACACTAAATGGAAATGTCAAAACAGCTTCAAAAAACACATCTTCAAGTGTTCTTTATTTTGTTTTAGTTTTTAGAAAACAAGGGTATCTCAGATATCATAAAGTCTGTTTGACATACAATCTAAGAAGGAAAGGGAGAACTGGAGAAGTGCAGTTTCATGTAGCCTGAACTAGCTGGAAACACCTATGTGCAGCCAAAGAAAACCACTCCAATGTCTCTTTCTCCAGTGAGATCCAGGTGCCTAGTCTTTTCTCAAAAGAAATTGTACTGCCAATGTCAAGAGCACAAGATTGTTCCACTGTTCCAGTTCACATCCATATATGACTTCTTAGGCCTGTGATTCAAGTAATCAGTGCTCTTCCAGAGTTCAACTTGAAATTTCAAGTTTGTAGAGCACTGACATGGACCTAAGCAAACAGAAGTAGAACTCTGTGGAATATGTAGAAATACCAGGTTAAATATTATCTCTGGCCAGGTGCCAGTGGCTCATGCCTGTAACCCTAGCTACTCGGGAGGCTGAGATCTGAGGATGACGGTTCAAAGCCAGCCTGGACAGGAAACTCCGTGAGACTCTTATCACCAATAAACCACGAGAAAATGGGCGCTGGGGCTCAAGCAGTAGAGTGCTAGCATTGAGTTGAAGAGTGCAGGGATAGCATCCAAGCCCAGAGTTCTAGTGCCATGACCAACAAAACAAAAAAAAATTAATTCTGGATGTAACCTGGCTAAATTTACTAAATGTTTATCAAGAATAATTCAGGCTTCATGTACAAATAGGATTAATACAGGACCCTAAATTCATCTGACAAAAAATTTCCTTCAAATAGGGAAATTTTTTATTTCAATTGCTATGGCACAAACAAATAAAAAATAGATGTAAAGGGCATGGAATTTGGTTAGGATGGTGAGGAGGGGTGAGATTCCAATAAAACTACTAAAAGGTATGTGTCACAGAAAATGTCAATCACTTAGAACTATGGAAAGAAGAAAAAAATGACATAAACCCTTCAACAATTCTGTATTCCACTAGTAACACCTTGATCAAGCAATTTTTAAAAGGCAGGTGTTTAACAAGTCAAGAAGTTATAGAACTGTAAGTCTGTCAAAAAGAAAAAACCATTGGCTGCCATGCAACCACCACCAGGTGCTGTGTTCAGACCCCTCACAGGACATTTTCTCCACTCCCGAAGTCATGCTGTGAAGATAAGGATCCGGGCCTAGTATACCATACAGCCACAGTCTCAAGAGTAAAAAGAAGATACTATAACATTTTTAACTGAGGTATCTGATGCAAGCTCCAGTATGATGGAAAACTAGTATTGGGAACAAAGATTAAGTAGTCTCTTTCAATAAGTCTGTCTACATTGTGATAAATTAACCAAGAATATGTCACCGAAGTCTTGATTTTAGCCTTTCAAGAAATCATTACCAGTTATCAGTTAGATATCCAGAAGCAGTTGTGTGGCTCAATGTCTTTACAATGTTCAGTCATGCTTTACATCTTAAGGATTTCAGTCAGGTCTCTATTATTCCTCATTTCAATAGGGGATAAGATTGTCAGGCATTCTTAGAATTCTTATTCTTGAAGAGTTCAGATTTGCCAATCTGCATAATTGAAATATCCTTTATTTCCAGGGCACTGACACAAAAATCCTCCATGTTTGGAGTGTGGTACAACACCAAGCTCAAAAGAATTAAGTGTTTCAAAGATAGGTTTAAGAAGGCCAGCTAGGTGAAAGACCCAGATTAAGTGAGACCTCTGACAGTCTAGAGCTTGATGGGTCAAAGACTAGGACTGATGACAGTAAGTACCTCACATGTAGTCTCATAAGTGGTGACAGTATAGTGGCCATCAGTCTTGATGAAGACAGCTTCTATAAAAATTTCTATACAGTGCTGTTATAGATAGAAAATTTTTCTACCAAGTTGGTGTCCATGGTATACCTATGACATCTAGCCACTCCAACTGAGAGCAAATAGATTTAGCAGTATTTTACTTTAATTCCTGTTGGCATATAGCTTAATGTCTGATTGTGCAGTCTCACAGAGCATGGTATCATGGTAAGTGTAAGATCCATTATTCTTTGCTGATCTGTCACACTCAAGCCTGAACAAGGAAACATTGATGACCTAACCACGAAGGATTTACCTCTAGTCTAGTAGCAGATGTTTTCAGATCCAATATTTGCCAGTCCTAAGTTTATCAAGAAGACTTCCCTAAGGAAGAAATCTATGTATTTTCCTATCATCACGCAGATTCCCAAGTGTCCTCCTCTGAACTAAACCCTTCTGACAGCAAAGTCCCCACTAATCACTTGGCCAATGAAGCCCATGTCTTTTATTATTTATTCCATTCCAAAAGTCTAGAGTTCAAGCATTAGCTGAGGTCACTACAGATATATATTGTTTTTGAGATGATCTCCTGCCTATAGAGCCTGTCTGATTGGGGAAAGAACAAGGAAAATAGGTTCTTGAATGAAATATTATGCTGATGAACATAGACAGGTTATTAATTCTTGTACCCATAGCGCTCAGCAGACTCTCCCTTTTTTCTATGTCTATAGGGGTGGTTTCGGGATTTGTACCAATCCCCTTTAGAGTAACCACTACTGTGATAATGGGTTTTATGATCATGTCTATAAAGGTATCGATGCTGGTTATAATACCTATTATGATCCTTACAATCATTTCCTTTAATACTGTTTTGTTCTGCAACCACAGCATTTGCATCTTGTCCAAAAAGGGAAGTACCATCAAAAGGCAAGTGTAAGATCTTCTCCTGGGTTTTTTTAGTGAGTGATGTAAGTCGAAGCCAAGCTTGCCTTCTATAATCTATTGCCATGGCCATCACTCTGACTACAGAGTCCATTATGTCCCTAGTAGTACAAAGTTGCCAAAGGCCTGCATCCATGCCATCAGATATTATACACTTTGCTTTTCCACGATCAAATTCTGGGTCATGAACTAGATCCTCCATGTCTTCCCATAGCTTACGCTGATACTGAGTCATATAAGCCAAGTAGCTGGCAGCTCGAGCTGCAATGGAGGCAGCATGGTAGAATCTACAACCCATGACTTCCATTTCTTTTGAGGTAGAATCTAGAGGAGATGTTGTGTTTCCTCTTTTGCTGTGCTCTAATGCTTCTACAATAGGGCCCTCAGCTGTTGGACTTGGTTGGAAAGGAGAGGTGTCCTTGGACACAGGATATACTCTGTGTCCCATGAAGGAAGAAGGATGGCAATCAGCGGGATCTTTAAAAACTTCAGAAGTGGCAATTCTCAAAAGTGGATGCAATGGAGGAACCAAGCGTTTTTTAGAGGTCACACAACCAGGTTTCCCTCCGCATGTCTCAGCTTCAGACCGTAATGTGACCCTTTTTATAACACCTCTTTGCTCCATTCTCTTCAAAAGACCTGTGAAACTAGATTGAGTGGGGTCAGTTGTCTCTCCTTTGTCATCAGCTGATGGAGAGTTGCAATCAGCCTCTTCTTCAACTGTAGGCATTTCCTTAGAGGTGGAAATGTCCCAAGGAAGTGAGGAGTGCTCACTTGGCCTAGAATGATGAAATCTAAAACAGCTCCTGGACTGAAGATCACGTATCACTCGGGACATCTCAGCCACTTGTGTCTGGAGATAGAGGATGGCATCCTGCCCATGCTGTGAAGCTGTAGGCAATTCCATGGGTAAATCCTCTTTGGCTTCAGAAGAGGCCAAAGATTCTTGGGGAACCAGAACTGGAGATGAAGGCAGCATCTGATAACTTTCTGATGACTTGGGTGTGTCTGTCTCAGAGATCTTAGTATCTGTATAATTGTGATTATTTTTCTGGTTCTCCAATGTGTTCTCAACAGAGCAAAGTTGAGAAACTATCCTTTGTGGACTGTTGGCACAACTCCCAAAGGAGGAGCTGCTGTCTCCAATGGTAAGAGGAATACTGCAGTTAGAGCACTTTTCTGGGCGATGATTCTCAGAGGATGGCAACTTAGATGCAGGCATTCTCTGGGTTATCCACATGAACAAGAAAACCAAGGAAGAAAAAAAATATGCTTTTAACTTTCAAGTGCAGAGATGCATGTCCAGTAAGTTGAACTCAATTTTTAAATTATTGTAAATGAAAATGAAAGACCCAATCCACTAAAGGTCAGTAAAGAATAGCAGACATCAAATCCACACACTTCAATATCTCCAGCCCCAACAAGAACTACAGGCAATAATAGTAGGACTGTCTATGAAAAAGTAGAGACTAAAAGTTACGCTCAGTTCAAGTGATGCTATCCTAGTCTACTATTTGTCCTAAGCTAAGATGAGGTGGTGAGGTCACTGGTGAGAAAAAATTTCCTATTCAAAAAGTAGAAGCTAGCAGAAACTTGAGGATCAAGACCCATGGAAAAGAAACAAAATTTCTCAAAAACCCTTATTATTGTTCCTTTACAACTTCTGTCACTAACTGCTCCCCATGAATAACAAAGCTTCTCAGTTAAAAAGTCATACTTTATGGTTTGTAATTTTAAGGAGCTTATTGTATGTATCTGTTATCTAGTTTTGTTTTCACAATAACCCTGTGAGGCAGGCATTATCCTCATTTGGTTTATAAAACAAGAAAACACATTGAGGTTAAAACACTATTATTTATCAGCAGTTGTAGGATGTAAAGCCAAGTTTTCTGATTCAAGTCCAGGTCCCAATCCCCCATATCATAGAGCAACAAATTTTCTGGCCGCCTTTAGGAAGAATCGGGAATTCTTTAATTCATCAAGAAAACAATCCATTAATAGAATTTTAGACTAAGGCAAATCAAATCAAAATTGTGACAAAAAGCCAACTACTCAATTCTTACCATAAGGAAACCCATAACCACCAAGGCACACATAAGATTAGTAATTCTAATTATGTGTGGGCAAGAGGAAGCTAAAAGTGATGAAGAATAAAGTAATATAGCAGCATTAAACCACTTTCCACATTCCATTTCTAAACAATCTTCATGCATCTTTTCCTCTAAGATAAAACAAATTTTCTGTTGCCACATGATTACAGAAGGAAAGGGTCTAAATCTAAAGAGATGAGAGTTAAAGAAAGAAGAAAGGTATCTAATTAAAAAACAAAAACTTGCAGTTCAAGCCCCACAACCAACCCCCCCCAAAAAAAAGAAAACTTGCAGTTTTTATTATATTTCCCTTTTACATCAGGTATCAGAACTTTCTAGTCATTTTATCTTTCCACACCCTCACTGAAAGTAGAGAAACAAAACTGGAAACAGATGGATTACCTATTATGATCTATTTCTAACAGAAATATAACACATAGGTGATTTGTTAACTCAATTTGGAAAATGCCTCTTAACATATACAATGAGAATGTACAAATTAAATACCATGTACTTACATCACTACGAGAGGTGCTTGGCTCTTCATCATCACTACTGACCAGATCAATGTATTCAAGAACTGGTCTTAATGGTCCTTCCTGTAATTGAGCAAATTTACAAGTCAAGAACAAAAATTCAAATCAAAGTAATATTTAACTTTCTGAAGGCTGGGAATGTGGCTTAGGGATAGAGTGCTTGCCTAGCATGCATGAAGCCCTGGGTTTGATTCCCCAATACCACATGAACAGAAAAAGCCAGAAGTGGCACTGTGGCTCAAGTGATAGAGTGCTAGCCTTGAACAAAAGAAGAATAAGGACAGTGCCCAAGACCTGAGTTCATCCGGACTGGCCAAAAAATTAAAAAAAAAAAAAAAGTAAAAACTTTCTGTAGTAGGGAAGTTTGTTTGTTGGGATTGGCTCTGAAGAAGCCTTAAGGAAGCAGAAAATAAGAAAAAAGGGTGAAGAAAGTAATTCAGAATACATAAAAAATGAAAAGGCTGGGCATGGTGGCCTGTCTATAATCCCAGCACCAAAGAAATTAAAGCAACACTGTAAGTTTGAAGACAGGCAAGGCCACATAGCAAGTTCCAGGATAGAAAACAGATTTGATGCTTTTCAGAAATAAGTATAAGCAGTCTGTTGTTAATATATCTTAGTGATCACTAGCTAGTGATATTTCTAGCTCAGTGGTAGAGCACTTCTCTATCATATGCAAAGTGGAAGAAAGAAGGAGAGGGGGAAGGGAAAGGAAAGAAGAGAAACGAGAGAAGGTTTTTCCTTGTTGGTGCCACCTGGGCTTGAACACAGGGCCTCAAGCTTCCTCACTTTGCTTTCTCATCTGGCATTCTACCACACAAGGCATGCCTCTGGCTCAACTTTTTGATGGGGTATTTTAGAGATAGAGCCCTGCAAACTTTTCTGCCCCTGCTAACCCTGAATCACCATTCTCTAGATTGGAACAATCTGAGTAGGTATGAGCCACTTGGACCCAGCAGAAACATGGAAATCTTTGAGAGCTTAGTTTCATATCATACCTCCTAGAGTAGAACATCAAAGCTGAATTATTCTCTAAACTTTCCACTCATAACTTCTTCAGACCTTTGACCCTTAAACACCAGGGAGAAAAGTCTTTTTTTTCTCTACAGGCAAAAGGGAATAAAGGCTAAGAGTAGTGGTACATGCCTATAATCCCAGCACTCAGTAGGTTAAGGCACAAGTTCTAGATCAGCCTAGACTATGTAACAAGATCCTGTCTTAGAAAAAGTAAAAATATGGTGGAGGGCTCAATAAATAATATTAAGGTGTGAATAACACTGAGCCGAGGCATAGGAATGCTAATCAGAGCTGACAGTGGTGATGGTAAAGAGCAAGGCACTAGCTAGGCATTAATGGCTCATGCTTGTAATCCAAGCTACTCACTCAAGAGGCTGAGATCTGAGGATCGTAGTTCAAAGCTAGCCAAAGCAGGAAAGTCTATGAGACTATTATCTCCAATTAACAACCAGAAAACGAGCAGTGGAGCTGAGTTTCCAGACTCACAACCCCCTAACCCCCAAAAAAGAGTGAGGTAGTGCATATATAAGAAAATATGGTTAAGGGGGTGGGGGACGACAGGTTCTTCATGGGTTAGAGATTTCAATTTCAGTAACTAGAAGAATACTAATGCCATTGGGTTAAATTTGGAATGCTGAGGTTTTTCTGGACATAATGGGTTGAGCACAACAGTACACACAGGTATCGAGAACACAGCTGGAAATGCAGGCCTGCAATGTGGGGCTAGGAACACTCCTAGAAGGAACTTAGGTGTGAGAAGAGGACCAAACTACACAATTGAACTGCAACATGCTGTCACATCAAGTTGTGAGGGTAAAATGTGAACTAATGCACTGGATACCAAGAAGAACGCAGCAAGAATCTGGCAATCAGACATTTCTGAATGCATCTTTAGAGAGCAATGCTAAAGAAGGTAGGGAGCACAGAAGCCCTAGACTGAACAGAAACCTAAGAACAGAAAAGACAATGGAAAAGATTAACAAGGCAAGATTAACAGAAAAGATCATCAGTAAAGATAATTCCTTTGAGAGAAATCTAGGGAGGAAGGGGCTTACACCTATAATCCTAGCAGACAGGAGACAGAGGCAGCAGGATCGGCTGGATCAACAAACTACATAGCAAGACTTTGTTCTCAAAAAATGATTTTAGAAACAATTGTCACCCTCCTGCTCCAGTTTCCCCAATACTGGGATAATGAGCATTACAGGTACATATCACCACACACAGATTTTAGGAGCTTATTATACTATCACCGAAAGAGTAAACTAAGAAAGACCTCAAATGACCAAAAAGAGAGAGAAAAAGGCACAATTTCTGCAAACACAGAGTAGGTGTAGGGAAGCTAGTCATGGTGGCATACACTTATCACCCAGAACTTAAGTAGCTCAAGAGGCAGGAGCCTGGGCCCCATACAGATCCTATCTCAACAAAGAAAGAAGCAAAACACAAGGGGAAGAATGATTTAAAAAAAAAAAACAAAAAAGTTACAAATTGTATTAAAAAGTAGCTGAGGGGCTGGGAACCTTGCTCAGTGGTAGAATGTTGGCCTTGCATGCATGAGGCCCTGGGTTCCATTCCTCAGCACCACAAAAGCAGAAAAAGCAGGAAGTGGCACTGTGGTTCAAGTGGTAGCATTAGCCTTGAGCTGAAGAGCTGAGGGACAGCGCCCAAGCCCAGAGTTCAGGCCCCACAACCGACCAAAAAAGAAAAAAAAAAAAAAAAGTAGCTGAATACCGGGGTCAGAGCTCAAGTAGTATCACACTCCCTGCCCCCACAACACACACACACACACACACACACACACACACACACACACTTGCAGAGAGCTGAGGATGTAGTTCAGTGGTAGAGCACTATCTAGCATATACAAAGACATGGTCTTATTTCCTTCATCTTAAAAAAATTAAGCCAGGCGCTGGTGGCTCACGCCTATAATCCTAGCTACACAGGAGGCTGAGATCTGAGGATCATGGTTCAAAGCCAGCCTGGACAGGAAAATCTGTGAGACTTTATTGCCAATTACCCAACAGAAAACTGCAAGTGATGCTGTGCTCAAGTAGTAGAGCGCTAGCCTTGAGCTGAAGAGCTGAGGGACAGGGCTCAGGCCCAGAGTTCAAGCCCCATGACCAACACACAAAATTAATTAACAAAACTTAAAGAACTACCTTTAGAAATAGTGGAAAGGCAAAAAGTAAAAAGATGACAAAGACTGACAGGAATTCACTAACAGAATGAACCACGTACAGTGATGTGACCATTTATGAACCACAAAATGACAATTTCATATGAATCAGTGGTTAAGACAAAAGAACTTTTAAAAATCAAAGATTAAAAAATCCAAAACAGAAAAAAAAATCAAGTTATTATTTATTGATGACATATTGATGACAAGTGGCAGAGTAACAGGGTAAGAAGAGGAGGCTGCCAAAGAGACAAGCAGAAAATGAAAAAATAAAGACAAGTACCCTGAGGGAAAAGATAGCCTACCTAAAAACCCAGTGCTCTTTAGCTGACTGTGCAGACACAGAACTGCCACCACAACCAACTTTAGAATCAGAACATTTCGTACTTCACTTATTACTCATTAGCAGTTACTTTATTAATCAATAGTTAGGTCAGGCATGGTGCAAGTTTTTCATGCATTGTATATCTTCCAACCTCTATAACTGCTTTACAAACAAATATTATTATTACTATTTTTAAGGTCATTACTACTATTATTACCCCATTACACAAATGATTTAAACTGAATGAAATATACCTGATTCTCTCAACTCGTTATTGGCTATGTAGCCCCTGTAATTCTGAAGTACTTCAAAGTATAAATTCTATTTTTAAAACCCTAAGTTTCTGGGACAACAGAGTAGGAGAAAAAAGATATTCCCCACTTCTGAATATTTCATAACATGAACCAAAATTACTTCCCAAGAAGTAATGTGTATAATACAAGTATCAAGAAAAAGTTCTGTTATGATTACTACTTATATCTTTAGCAAGTACAAGTGTATGTGGCCCATGGTATTTTTTGTGAAATCATGCTACCAACTAATACATCATTTTCATGTTTTTGTATTGGGTCCAGTCGTGGGGCCTGAACTCTGGGCCTGAGTGCTGTCCCTCAGCTCTTCAGCTCATGGCTAGCACTCTACCACATGAGCCACAGTGCCACTTCTGGCTTTTTTCTTTTTGGTTATGTGGTGCTGAGGAATCAAACCCAGGGCCTCATACATGCAAGGCAAGCGCTCTACCACTGAGCCACCTTCCCAGCCCCTTGCGCCACTTCTGGCTTTTTTTCTTATGTGGTACTGAGGAATCGAACCCAGGGCCTCAGGCATACAAGGCAAGCGGTCTACCACTGAGCCACCTTCCCAGCCCTTAAAAAAAACAAAGGATTTTTTAGTCATATAAATGCATGCAGGGGATGGTAGAGGAAAAACAGAGGAGGCAACAATGCTTGATAAGAAATGTACTCATTACCTTGCTCATGTAATTGTAACCCCTCTGTACAGAATTTTAACAATACAAAATTTATTTTAAAAAAATAAACGCACAGAGGAGCATGACAAGATTTTAGGAACATAGATGAATACTTGTAAGGAAATAAAAAGCTTCCATTCCACGGGGGCTGGGAAGATGGCTCAGTGGTAGAGCGCTGGCCTTGCATGCCTGAGGCCCTGGGTTCGATTCCTCAGCACCACATAAGCAAAAAGAAAAAAGCCGGAAGTGGCGCTGTGGCTCAAGTGGTAGAGTGCTAGCTTTGAGCTGAAGAGCTGAGGGACAGCACTCAGGCCCAGAGTTCAGGCCCCATGACCAGACCTTTAAAAAAAAAAAAAAAGCTTCCATTCCTGCTAGGCACCGGTGGCTCACTCCTGTAATCCTAGCTACTCAGAAGACTGAGATCTGAGAATCACGGTTCAAAGCCAGTCTGGGCAAGAAAGTCAATCAGACTCTTATCTCCAATAAACCACCAGAAAACTAGAAGTGGCACTGTGCCCAAGTGGTAGAGCACTTGCCTTGAGCTGAAGAGCTGAGGGACAGCA